GGGCTACGGGCCATAGGTTTGTGCACACAATACGCAACAAAACCTGGCGATCAGTGGGAAGAGAACCCGTGGCCATCGCCTAGGCCCCCCTACAGACGGGGTGTTCAAAATCGTCGACCGAACAAGGGAGTCGGCCAGAACAGCAGAGGGTAAAATATAGGGGTACGTAGGATGGGTAATCTCTGGTATACCTAAGGCCTGAGCTACGACAGAAGGTGTAACCCTAAAAGAATGACCCCGCAAAAATACCCTAAAGGACGACCCGTCAATATCGTGGATATTCGCATAGAATTCCTGAACTAGGAGAGGGGGTGGAGGTGATAGACCAACAAGCAAAGGCTCCCAACCCGAGACACTAAGATGGCAGCTATATCTACGAGAAGGTCAGACAAAATTACCTCACGCTCCACGAGAACGGGGTGTAAGGAGAACTGGAAAGTGAAGACCTCCTTGGCGTAGCAGAAATGAACCTCGATCGACTGTAAGAGGTCGAACCACTAGCCGGCTGGGAAGAGAGACATGATCGATTATGGGCCATCTGGCACACGTAAAGAGGCAAGAAATGAGTGACATGAAAAATGCACATGAAACGATGCAACGTGTCATGACACACTGTGCACACAAATGAGGCACAAAAGTGATACATCGAAAAAATGCGATCGACCCTAAAAGCAAAGTCATCACGACTCGAAACCCAACGAAGAATATGCGTAAAGCCACAACGAAGCAAAAATGGAATGAGAAAAATACCCAAACAACCCTAAGGAAACAAGAAAATAGCTAAGGCATTGCATCGAACACGTGGCGTGCGTCACTTCGGCACGAATTCCCAAGCACACACATGATGCACCCACGCAACCAAGCACAACTCCACAAACTAGGCAACATGCTCTTCAAAATGAAACAAACCACATGCAAATCGGAGTTACGGAATGCAAGAACGAAGTCGACGAACATGGAAGAAAAAACAAGAAACACACTTAAAATAACCAACAAAGAATCACACAATGCGAGCTAAACTTTGAATAAAAGTGCGAGAAATGGCAATCCATGAATCAAAGAGATGCAAGAGGCACAAAATCCATAAGAATTAAGCAATGATGCTCACAAAACCGAACAAACATGTAGAAAATGCAAAAACTCAAAAAAATGAAGAAAAAACAAGAAAAACTACCTCAAATGATCTTCAAGATGGAATTTTGATGTTGAAATCGGGTGTAAGCGCTTCGAATCGATCAATTATCAAGAATATTTGAAGAAATTGCAACACAAAAGAAGAAATGTATGTAAATGTAGGGAGAAAAATGAAAAAATAATGCGCGAAATGAAGAATCAGAATTCAAATACCCACACTGTCGCTCGAGCGAGACGACAGCGAGACTCGAGCGAAAACAACACTGTTATTTTTGCTCAAGCGAACGGCACGCGAGCCTCGAGCGAAAACTCAACTTTCAAAAATAGCACCACAATTTTGAAATTTTTTTTTAAAAAATGGCAGAACTCATGGAAAATTACAAAATTAACCCCGAATTTCAAAATTTTGAAATGTGGGACGAAACGAAGTATGTAACCTAATATGCAATCGAGCCCAACAATAAGCATAAAGTCACAAACCCAATAATCAGCATATATACAAAACATAAGTCCACACAGAGATCAAATTACCATGGAGTAAAGTGTATACAGACCAACACCGAGAAGAGTGCCACGTAGTCCATGCAAGCGAGACTCAAAACCTTAAATTAGTGAGAAAGGACACGTGAAAACAACCAAACAAAGGTGTATGTCGACCAAGTGACAATCAAATCCAATACCACGAGGACCCAAATCAAATAATACGATTGTCACACTTTTACTCTCCCTAACTGAATGATCTCATTTTTTTTTAACAAACAAACTTAAGTGCAATGCTATCCTCATTAGGCGACATAGACGACCCCCGTAACGAACGTTGGGCCGTTGACTCCCAAGTCAGAAGACCTTAGGGTACCAGGTTAAAAACCCCTCGGGCTTAATAGTTCGAGTCAAATAGGCCCCGAAGATAGTCAAACGTTCGACAAAATACATATAAACGTGGGGAAAGACAATATGATTAGGTGACACTCGTCCCAGATCAAGTCAAATGGACACACAATCCTAAGAATAGAAGATCACCATCCCAAGTCTTACCCAAGCGGTCAAGACTCACATACAGGACTACAGTGTGTGCTGTGCAAAGATGAATGACGAGCCATATACGCAAAACTCCACGACAACGTGAACAATGATGGAACCTCAGACTCGTACATATGATGAATAATAGAGTTAGATTCTAAATGCAAATGCCAGAATCGAGACATAAAAGACACACACATGAAAAATCCCTTTTTTTTTCATACATTTAAACACACAAACAAAAACAGCAAATGAAGATGAAACAAACAAACAAAAATGCATCACACATACATAGGTCACATGCAAAGTACGAAGTGACTAGGTGCAAATGTGATGCAAGCATGAATATGCAAGAACCCATGATCAAATAGGTGAGCTAACACCAACAGCCGTCCGAAGTGACTCAAACCTCAACCCATCTAGTGGTTTCGTAAGTAGATCAGCCAATTGATTATCAGTAGAGATATGGTCAAGAGAGACAACATGTGATTCAACAAGCTCTCGAATGAAATGATGTCGTATGTCAATATGTTTTGTTCGAGAGTGCTGAATGGGATTCTTAGAAATATTTATCGCAGTCGTATTATCACAGAAGACAGTCATTGTCCCTTGACTAATCCCATAATCACTAAGCATTTGTTTCATCCAGAGAAGCTGAGTACAGTAACTCCCTGCAGCTATGTATTCGGCCTCTGCCGTGGATAAAGATATTGAATTTTGTTTCTTACTTAGCCAGGCTACGAGATTGCTACCCATGTAAAAAAACCCCCAGTCGTAGTTTTCCTATCATCTGCATTTCCGGCCCAATCGGCGTCGGAGTATCCAGCCAAATCAAGATTGGAATTCCTAGAATAGAATATCCCTAGATCCACTGTACCACTGATATACCTGATTATGCGTCTAACAGAGCTTAGGTGTGACTCTTTTGGATCTGCCTGAAAGCGAGCACACACTCCTACACTAAAGGCAATGTCAGGCCTAGTAGCTGTGAGATAGAGAAGACTACCTATCATGCTACGATATAGGAAAGGATCTACACTCTTACCAGAAGGATCACGACCTAACTTTAAGCTAGTACTCATCGGTGTCCTAGTATGCTTCTTACTATCTAACCCAAATCGCTTAACGAGATCCTTAGCATACTTAGACTGTGAGATAAACAGTCCATCCTCTGTCTGTCGTACCTGAAGTCCAAGGAACTAACTTAACTCCCCAACCATACTCATCTCGAACTCTCTCTGCAGACACTCAGCAAACTCAAACGCTAAAGACTCAAGAGGAGACCCAAAAATGTTATCATCGACATAAATCTGAGCAATGGTAAAATTTTCTTCTATATGTCTAATGAATAAGGTCCTATCTACACCACCTCGAGAGAACCCATGTTCTTCTAGATATGATGTAAGTCTCTCATACCAAGCTCTAGGAGCTTGCTTCAAACCATAGAGTGCTTTGTGAAGTTTGTAGACATAGTGGGGAAATTTTGGATCAACAAATCCCTTAGGTTGTTCCACATATACTTCTTCCTGAAGAAGTCCATTCAAGAAGGCACTCTTAACATCCATTTGATGCAACTTGAACCCTAAGGTACATGCAACAGAAAGCAGAATCCTAATAGACTCAAGTCCTGTAACGGGGGCAAAAGTCTCATCAAAATCAATCCCCTCAACTTGAGTATACCCCTGAGCAACTAATCTCGCCTTATTCCTAGTTATAGTACCTTGGTCATCTGTCTTGTTCTTAAAGATCCACTTGGTACCAATAACATTACAATTTTCAGGTCTGGGAACTAAGATCCACACATTATTCCTAGCAAATTGATTTAGCTCCTCATGCATCGCATTCACCCAACACTCATCACTAAGGGCCTCTTCAACTTTCTTAGGCTCTACCTGAGAAACATAGCTAGTGTACGCTAGATTGTTCAGTACTCTCCTACGAAGTCTCATCCCTTCATCTAGATCCCCAATAATATTATCCTTAGGATGACTAGACTTAACCCTAGTCGATGGTTCCTTAGGATTTTTATCTAGATTTTGTGGAAGTGTTTCCTTTTCAGATGTTTCAGGTTTCTTACGAGATGATTCAGGCACAGGTAGCTCAGTAGGATCACTTGAACTCAAAAGATCACCATCTTTATCACATTTTTCAGCACTCTCCCCCTCACTCACAGCATCATCTATCACAACATTTATAGACTCCATCACCACACGGGTACGTAAGTTATACACTCTAAATGCTCGGCTATTCCTATAGTACCCTAGGAAGATCCCTTCATCACTCTTTGATTCAAACTTACTCAAATTCTCTCTATCCCGCAAAATGTAGCACTTACTCCTAAATACTCAAAAATACTTAACAGTAGGCTTTTTACCCTTAAGAATTTCATATGCGGTCTGATCAGTCTTGGGTCTAAGGTAGACTCTATTGATGATGTGGCATGCAGTGTTAATAGCTTCTCCCCAAAAGTGTAGGGCTAATTTCTTGCCATAAAGCATGGCTCTAGCCATGTCCTGAAGGACACGATTCTTCCTTTCAATTACCCCATTTTGTTGCGGAGTGATAGGGGAAGAGAACTCATGCAATATCCCTTCGTCCATACAGAAACTCTCAAGATTAAAGTTCTCAAACTCTTTTCCATGGTCACTACGCATCCTAGACACTTTGAGATTCAGTTCATTGCTAAGCTGTTTACACAGAGACTTTATGAGGTCACAAGCATCAGATTTTTCCCTAAGCAATTCTATCCAAGTAAACCTCGAAAAGTCGTCTACCACGACAAGAATGTATCGCTTACCACCTAAACTCTCAGTCCTAGAAGGTCCCATCAAATCCATATGTACCAACTACAGGGGTCTTTTGGTCAGAATTTTAGTAGTCTTCTTATGGCTCCCCTTAAGTTGTTTGCCTAGTTGACATGGTCCACACACAACATTTTTACTAGGAACTATCTTAGGCAACCCATCTATCAATTCTTTCTTAGCCAACTGCTCTAGACTCTTATAGTTCAAATGACCTAATCTTTTGTGCCAGAGCTCACTCACATCAATTTTAGCACTCCTACACACATAGTTAGAATTAGGTATTACCCCATAACAATTGTCAGATGTTCTAACCCCTTCAAGGACTATCCCACCGGATGAATCATACACGGTACATCTCTTCTGCACAAAACTAACCTCAAAGTCGTCATCACAAATTTGACTAATGCTTAACAAATTTGACTTTAAACCTTCCACATAAAGCACATTAGAGATCACAGGTAAACCATGCATTTGTACAGTAACTTTGCCAAGAATAGGTGTAGAGCCCCCATCTCCAAAGGTAACCATACCACCATTACATTCATCATGAGTAGTGAATAGGGCTTTATTACCACACATATGCCTAGAACATGCACTATCCAGGTACCACTTATTAGAATTTTGAGCTTTTAAAGCAACATGAGCAACAAAACAGTTTTCTTGACCTGAAAGTCTACCTAGATCACCCTTTTTGACCCAAACCTTTTTAGATGACAAAGTACTCTTAGTTAGCTTAATAAGCATCTCAGTCAAATGACTAACCTGATTAGACAGAAAGCTAACCTGACTAGGAATGTTTTGATTTCTACGCTCATTGCCTAACTTATAACATCTAGGCCTAGTGTGTCCTAGAGCTCCACAGTGGTGACAGGTGGGAATGAACCTAGGCTCAAAGGTACGTGTCTGTGGGTACCTAGTCCTGATGTTCCTACGTGATTGATGACTCTGTTCCCTAGGAACACTCTTACCCTTACTTGGACTCCTAACAGCATTAGACTTAGAGGCAGACACAAAGACAGTCTTAGATGGTCCAGCAACATGTGTATTACCCTCAACATATCCTAGACCTCTCTTATCTCCCACTGGCTTATTCATTCCCAACAGGTTATCCAATTTATTAGTTCCACTTATGAATGTCTGAAGATGAGCATTAGATTTCTTCAATTCACTAGTCAAACTCTTAACCTTGTCTTCCAATTTCTCATTGACACACTTTAACTCACTACCACTCTTAAGTGAATCCTGAAGCTTACTACCCAGTTTCTCTTTTTCCCTTTCAAGTTCGTCAACCTTTTTAAGTAGGGCTTTATTGACCTTCTTTATTTTAAGACTCTCCTTAAACAACAGTTGATAAGCTTCTTGTAAGTCTATGTCATCCTCATCCTCATCCTCATTACCAGAATTATCGTTTGAATGTTCTTCCTCAACCTTGTCACTTTCCTTATCAGATTCACTCTTAACAGTAGCCACAAATGCTATATAATTTCCTTCGTCATCACTACTAGAGGATTCCTGCGTATCACCGGTCTTAGATTCATTATCAGTAAGTGAGACAACTAAGGCCCTATCTTTCCTTTTTCTTTGATTTTTCTTATAGCTAGGACACTCATCCCTATAGTGACCTATTCCTTGACACTCATGACATCTAACCAAACGTGGCTTCTCACTTGATCCTTTATTGTTAACTTTCTCAATTTTATCTTTTGTGAATCTGCTAGGGGCTCCACTCTTTCTATCCTGAGGTTTTCTCCTATTCTTGAGGACTTTTTGAAATTTCTTAACAAAGTATGCGATTTTCTCATCCCTAAGTGACTCAGCATCAGAAGATTCATCTTCTTTAATGGATTTTAGGGCTATGGACTTTCCTTTCTTATGTTGTGAGATAGTGAGTTCATAGGTTTGCAAGGATCCTACCAATTCTTCGATCTTAACTTCATCTAGGTCCTTACTTCCCTTAATGGCAGTGACTTTAGGCCTAAATCTCTCAGGCAGAGATCTAAGTACTTTTCTCACAATCTTAGTCTCGGGAATTCTCTCACCTAGGTTGAAACTAGAGTTAACTATATCATTTAGTTTAGCGTAAAACTCATCAAAGGTTTCATCATCTTTCATCCTCACTTCTTCAAACCTAGAGGCTAACATTTGCAATTTTGAGTTCTTTACTATCTTAGTTCCCTCATGTGTAGTTTCGAGAATGTCCCAAACCTCTTTACCAGTTTCGCACATAGACACTCTCCTGAACTCTTCTGGAGATAGAGCCATGAATAATGCATGAATTCCCTTACTATTCCAATTACATGCAGCTAATTCATCTTTAGTCCACAGTGATATGTCAGTAAGGTTAATTGTTCCTGATACAGTAGTAGATGGAGGTTTCCAACCATTTTGAACGCTAATCCAAACATGCTCATCTAAGGACTTAAGGAACGCATGCATTCTAACCTTCCAATATGCATAATTACTTTTGTCGAAAAATGGAGGTACAGACAGTGATTGACTCATCTAGACAACTATGGGTCAGGACTCGAGATTAGGCTCTGATACCACTTGAAAAACCTATCGTTCGACCCAACTAATACCTAGAGGGGGGTGAATAGGTGTTCTTGCGGAATTAAAAATTTTTTGAATAATTCATGCAACAAGTCACACAAATTATAATTTGTCCAGATTAATTCACGTGCTTAGAAACCTATGTTGGATTACCATTGACAAGTAAATAAATTAAAGCGGTAAAAACACAATAAACATGTTGACGGAGAAACCCAACTGGGTAAAAACTCCGAGCACAAGCCAGTAGAGATTCACTATTGTAGAAACCAACTTACAGCACGCCAAACATCATTGACACTCTCAATTTTCTGACGTCCTTGCTGTATGAACTCAAGACCCTCCTGAATTTTGCAGATCCGTGCTAAATCCCAGCCTTATATAATTTCTACCTCCCATGAATCGCCACGCACTCCAGCTCTTCAAGCAGATCCTTCCCGGATCTTCAAACTGATGATCTTCTGGAAGTTTAATTGGAGTTGTGAGACAGGTGTTTTGGGGTTTATGGATTTGATGTTTTTACTCAACAAGCCAAGGATTGGTATGAGAACAATGAAGGATTTCTTTGGCTTTTGATCCTTGGAGAGAATGATTTGGATTTTTGGTTGCCAAGGAATTGAAAGAATATTCAAAGTGTTTTCAATGTGAATTTTCGGGTTGATGAACACGAATGGGACGTTTGGTATATATAGAGGTTGATATATGGTAATGTGGAGCGTCAAACATCCGCGAGCGTTTAAAATTAGAATTGGCTAGGTAACACGATCGCTCGAGCGAGGTACTGGCGAGCCTCGAGCGACGGCTCAGCGTGAGTCCAACGAAGTTGGTTCTGCAATTGTGGCTCGAGCGAGGTCAGGGCAAGACTCTAGCGAAATCAAAGCGCCGCTTGCATCTTCGAGGC